ACTCCCTTTCAATCACAATGCTGGAGGTCAATTTCCCTGTATCATATAACCAGCTTCAAACATTAATTACTATAAAGGTTGGTAGAAAAAATGTTTTAATGAAGAAATCAAATGATTTCTTACTATAGATCACGTTAAAGATGTTTTCACAATCCAAACTTCAGTCCGACAGAAGCACATCAGGCTGTGAACATGTGACACATTCTCAGCTGTGCTGCGTCATTTAAACCAGGAAGACTCTTCTGATCTGGTTCTTGTTCTGTTTTACAGATCCTCTCCCTGTCTGGGTGATTGCTGTTTGCACTGCTGCTCTCACTCTCATCCTAATTGTGGTTCTATCCGTCTGGCTTTGTATTGATCGAAGGAGTAGAACCTGTAAGTCCAAGTAAACGTTCCAACAAATAATCTCAACATCTGTAAAATCCTCTTTGTTTCCTCTACATAGAAACTCAATGTCTCCAAGTCCTCCATAACTATGTACCCACCTGTTTGGTTAAATAGCCCAATATCACAAATCACAGTTTGCCTCCGAGTGCTGAACAATCTGTACAACACAGGACGTCTTTTACTGCATCAGATAAGGAAACACTTCTGTTAAAATATACATGTGATATTTTACCAAAAGGTGCTTTTTATCTCACTGGGATTGTCATGATTTGCTGTTTTGATACAAACATCCCAACACATCAAATCCAACACGTCAACATGTGCTTCTGTTTGAGGATGGAGTAAATTAGACACCACCCAAAAGATGGAGTCACTTTATCTGCAGCTCAAGTAAAGTAAATGTACAACAGTTCAGATCTTTAAAGGGCTGTTTGTTCTTCTTCCATCACTGACCTGCAGGTTCAAGAAGGAGCATCGATAATGTCATTTATGAAGCTGCTCAGGTAATTGTTACGTCTTTTAACATCAAAATTGAGAAATGATTTTAGAATCAAAACTTTGTGTCAAATTTGTTTCCAGGTTTGTCCAAAGAGACAGAAGTATTTAAATCAGTGACTGTTAATCATCAGAAGATGATTCCCCACGAGGAAAATAGCACCATTAAGAAGAAGCAAGTAACCTTTTCTTACGTATGTGATTCATCCTGCAGGACGAAACATCAGCACCTCAGAACCCAACAAACGACGTCACCTACAGCTCGGTGAAGTTTCACGCTCGATCTCCTCAGGCAGCCGCGGCGACACGCAGGAATCAGTCAGAGAGCCTCTACGCTGAGGTGAAGAAACCCGGCAGGTCCTTCAACGATTAAAGAGGAATGTTTCCCCAAATCCTGGAATTCTGCTGGAAGTTTGCAGAGTTATTGAAGCTTTCTGTGTTTTAGTTCATGTGATCTGCTTTAATGCTGAAAGATTCTCCTCCACACAAACGTGTCATTGGAGAGATTAAAAATCATTAAATGTTACTAAACATCACACACATTTAAAAGTACCTTTTTTTAGCATCACAATTCAAGGTCTTAGTAATTAGATATTTAACATTTAAGATCAATGTAGAAAAAGTAATAAATATGTTGTTGTCCTGCAGGAAGCTTCAGCTTTGGTTCCTGGTTTGATTCTTCATGTCACTTTTCATCTGATCATTTCCTAAAGAGCAACGATTTACACTTTAGACTTTTAAGGCTTCACCTGATTGGTGAGATTTAAGCTGCATGATGCTTCTGTTAAGTATTTTTACTTGGAGAAAAAAAAGTAATCAAATCAAAACTGATGAATGTGTGAAACAGAGGAAAAAAGCTTGATTGGCATTAAATGTTTTATTTTTCCATAACGTATTTCGTCATCATTCAGTGTTTCAAGTGTCTTTACTATAATAACATCACATATTGATTCTTTGGTAAAAACTCACAGTAAACCAGAGAGGAACACGAGACCTTTTAATCACTGAAACACAAGATCAGTATGAAGCTTTAACAAGTTCTAAGTTTCCACCCAAAACAAAACGTGCTGAACAGAATTATGTACAAGTAAATACTGTACAAGGGGCGGCACGGTGGCGTGGTGGTTAGCACTGTCGCCTCACAGCAAGAATGGTTGTGTGTCCAGAGTCCAGTGTGAATGGTTGTGTGTCTCTGTGTAGCCCTGCGATTGGCTGGCGACCAATCCAGGATGTACCCTGTCTATCGCCTGAAGTTGGCTGGGATGGACTCCAGCCCCCCCGCGACCCTGTGTGCAGGA